TCTCCCTCTGGAAAGTCTCCAAACTACGAGATCCAGCATTCTCGTTCGTGTTCGGATGATTCTCCATAGCATGCGCCATTGCTTCTAAAGCAGCAGCAAGTGCAACATCATTCCTTCCATCCATCTCAACTTATCACTACAACATAAACAACGGTTAGAACTCAAATTAACAATACTCGATTGTTAAACAATACTACGACTCGACAACTTGGTTGGATGGACCGACTTGCTCTGATACCACTAATGTAACACCCCAGTTCAACCCAACGATTGTTATAAAAATCAGAGTGATAAAATTTTGACAACCGAATCAGGATTCAACATATTCAAATTAAAACAACGACACTCATTAATAGATACATAACACATTAAACTGGAATGAACCAACAATAACATAAAGTTAACCTTTTAAAACAACAACATTCATAACTACGCAGCGAAATCATAATATTCTACTTAAAAGAGTATAACATAACCAACTGAAACAACTTCAAAATAAACATTACTTAATAATATTCAACTTAAAATTCAATATACTGAAATAATAACAATAAAACAGCAAGCGTTCATCCCCCCGAGTGTTACGTATCAGAGCAATGACACTGACTCGAACTACTGAAGGTATACCGCCTTCACTCTGGGTTACCTGCACGTTACCAACATCGGGGTAACATTCAAACAGAAGGGGTGAGATATCGAACAATATAATAGATTACATGATAGATAAAACATTAGGATCAGTTCATACATATTTACCACTTCTCAAGTTTTAACATTATAAGCATAATCAAATCAACTGCACATGACTCAGAATGTAATATAGGATGCAACTCATCTTTATGCAAATTCATGTGGCACCAATGGAGCAGAACTCCCATTTTCCAGTACCCGTTTTCTACGTGATTTTCCATAAAATTCTTAATACCAGTCTCATATACCAACACTTTGAGTACTACAACATCAATTTTCACAGAGACAATTTATCACCGAAACAGCAATCCAAACACATGAAATTAACAGCAACACTTTCAACACAGTTAACAGGATTTAACATCAATTTTTTTTCTTTTTATACAACCCAATCCCACGTATCATTTATCAGACAACCCGTTATAGAGTCAGAACCCCACCCTTACCTTGGATTGAAGGTCACTCTACAATTTTCCGATCGAATCCCGATTCACCTCTTCTCCTTATTCCTCTTCTTTGCAACTTCTCCTTCTTCTGTAACTCTTACGATCAATCTCCAATTCTTAATTCTAATTAACCTGATTTCTATTATTACTAAATTTAATAATAATAATCTATTGGGCTTAATTCTCACACCCTTCTTAATACAACATACCACCAAAATTAGCTCAATCACTAATACCAATAATTTCAACATTTATTATTATTAATCAACTAATTAATTAATAATAATCTAACAACTTATACCCACGATTTTCAATATTTCACAACTTCAACAAATAATCCAAAAAAAGTAATTTAATTAAATAATTAATTAAATCAACGGGCCTTACGCACATCTAAATGAAATGTCGACCAACCTTGGTTGCATGCCAATGCTACCACTAGTCGAACATTCTCCAATCTTGCTACTGGAGCAAATACTTCAGAGTAGTCGAGTCCTTCTCTTTGAAGAAACCCTCGAGCTACTAATCTTGCTTTATGTCTTGCTATCGAGCCATCAACATTACATTCAACTTGAATACCCACTTTACTTCGATAGCTTTTGTATGTGTTGTCAATTCGACTAACTCCCATGTGTTGTTTCTTTCGATTGCTTGTAACTCTTCGACCATAGCTAACTTCCACTGTTTAGTTTTCAAAGCTTCACTATGAACTAACTCTCCACCTGGTGTGACTTCATCATCACCCACCACTTCATAATCATGAAGTCTTATTGGAAAAACTTTATTTCTTTGAGGTCTTTGGCTTGTTTTAGCCATAGCCTCTTTGACTTTGACTGTGTCGGGAATGTTAACAACTGTTTCTTCTTCGACTTCGACTGGATTCTTAACAATTCCTTCGACCTCTACTTCATCAGTTTCTTCATCGACATTATGGTCAACAACAGTTTTTAAACATTGAACTTCAGTCAAACTGATCATAGTCTTAAATGTCATGTTCTTCGACAACATAGATTTTAAGACCAAATTGTTCTTGGTGTCGAACAATTTTAAAACTCAATCTTTCATGATAACTGACAAACCTTTTTCGACTAGTTGTCCAACATTTAGCAAGTTGTCCTTTATTCCAGGTATATAAAAGCACATCTTTGATTATATCTTTCCCTCCATTACTCATTTGAAAGACTATATTTCCAGTACCTTCTGCTTGCAACGAACTATTATTAGTAAGTTTTACCTTGCTCTTCTTCGACTCGTCAAAATTTGCCAACCACTCCTTTTGACTAGTCACATGGTTCGAGCAACCTGAGTTGAGAAACCAGATGTTAGATTCGATATGGTTATCTGCAACTGCAGCCATAACCTCCATACCACCTTTAGAATCATCTGAATCTTGGCGTGCAAGGTTCACTCCTTCGTCCTTGCATGTCGACCCCTTGTCTTTTCTATATAAGCAGTTCTTGGCTACGTGACCCCACTTTTCACAGTTATAGCACTGCACACCTTTTTTATCTTCTTTACCCTTTCGATAATTTCCTCCTCCTCCTTTTGAGGATTCAGAAGCTCCATCTTTGACCTGGTTCTTGTGAGGTTTCGACCAAGACATGTTGTCCTGAATCTTGTCGAACTTGTCTTTGAATTTGTTGGAACCACCATCCTTTTTCCATGTCTGAGCTCGCAAAGCCTTTATCGAGTCTTGCACTCCTTTCCTTTCGATAATCCTCATCTCATGCGCCTCCAACAAACCAACCAAATCTTCCACTTTAGTGGTTTCAAGATTGTTAGATTCTTGAATAACTACGGTAACATGATCAAAGTGAGAGGTCAATGTTCTCATTACCTTCTCAACTATCATCTTATCAGTTATGGTTTCACCATAATCCTTCATGAGATGGACGAGTTTCTGAACCTTCGACACATATTCTGTAACTTTTTCATCTTCTCCCATCGACAACAACTCATATTATCGATGCAAGGTTTGTAATTTGACAACCTTGAATTTCTCACCTCCTTCGTAATACTTCACCAGAATATCCCATGTCTCCTTCGTCATTTCAGCATGAGAGATTCTATCAAAATTAGCAGCATCGACCGCCATCTGAATGCAATAAGCAACCTTGTAATCTTTCTTCTTGACTTTGTTGTGGTTTTTTTTCTGTTTGTCGGTTGCATTTGCAGTCAACGAAGGAACACCGTCAGTAACCACTTCTAGAGTTTCATGGAAGCCAAATAAGGATTGCATCTGTTTTTTCCATCAGATCTAATTTTTGCTGTCAAATATTGAAAGAGAATTCAGAATACCCTTATCACTATCCATCTTCGCAACAATTGATTCACTTTTCTTAGAAACACGATCTGTGACGTGAAATTCTTGAAAACTCGGTCAAAAACAATAATCGGAAGCTCTGATACCAATTTGTTAGTGTGTGAGGCACTTTAGTGAGGAGGGAAAGAGGGAATAATAAAAGAAATAAGAATTTATATTATTGAATTGTACAAATAATGATATAGACTAGGACTATTTATATACAACCATAATTGGACTTGGATCTACACAACTTAGATTATATTTAAATATTAAATCTAATCTAATCTAATATTTAACAAATTTAATTTAATATTTCAACACATATCGATCAAAATCCACCAAAATAATAGAATCGACGAACCAATCATTTTTAAAAATTGGCAAATTAAATATTTGTTTTTTTTAAAACAAAACAACGTCATTTTAAGAATTAAAAAAAATTAAAATATAAGTATATTCTGTTCAAAACTTATTTGAAATAAATGTTTCTTCTTAGAATTATTTTATTAGACACGACAATTTTTTCTTCTTAAAATTAAATTTATTAGACAAAACAATTATTTTATTATTTAACTTATATTACAATTAGACTTTATTTAAAATTTATATGAATTTGAATTTTGTATTATATACTTGAATATGATGATTATGTTTAGAATTTAAATTAAAAAAAAAATACTTATGAAATTATGATATTTTAAAATTTTGAAAATTTGAAAATGTCGTGATTATTTTTAGAGAATAAGTTATTTGATTTGACCAGTTTAATTACTATATAGTTTTGTTTATATAAATCATTTTATTTATTTGATTTAGTCATGTTATTCGATGAATAACTTAGTGATTCAAATAATGAATAAGTGATCTGATATCTTACCAATTTGATAGTTGGTTCGATTTTAAAAACATTAGTTTATCCCATCATTTTTATAGGTGGGGCCCATGTTACGCTTTGTAAAATTAAGAGTAATTTACCCTGAATGACATATATCAATAAAATTTTATCATATAAAAATAATTTTTTAAATCACATATTAATTCAAAACTTTAAAATATTGAATCTATATGTCTTTTCTCACTTAAAAAATATTCAATATTTTTTTTATTTAATGTGAGAAACAATACTCACATTTGATATTCAATATCTTACTATTCAAAAATTAAATTATATACTATTTTTTTAAATTTTATTTTAATTCTTTAAAACTGATTTCAAAAATTTTATTTTATATAACAATTTTTTTATACACGTCATAAAGATAAGTTACCCTAAATTTAAAAGGATAGCCAAGATAAAAAGTGTTTTAAGTTTTTGCCTTAGTTTATCCCCATCATTAAGTAATTTTCCATAACTTTATGCTTCTTTCCTTTTATATATACGTCTCACTTTGCCATACCATATCCTCATAATTATCATTTTTTAGCTAAGATATCTTAAGAGTTAACGTTACTGTTTCACGTGAAAGAGTTTTGATTGAAGATATAAATCAATCACACAAAAGGCTTTGGCCTAACTTACACATTCCGTCTTTCTTCTTTCTCATTCATCTTCTTCATCCATGGAATCCTCAAATTGGATTCTCAAACATGTATCCATTTTACTCATTCTCTTCCTTACTCCTTCAATGTCCTCAACTTTGGACCTTATAGTTACACAAACTAAAACCTTGCACCAAAACTTCACTGCTGTGTCAGATTTTAGATTGATAAATAGAAGAATTTTGAAGGATGGTTCTATTTTAAGTCCTTATGTTAAACTCATTATCAGCAAAAATTCTAGCTTGTCGGATGACCAATTCGTCACCGTTACGGTCACCGGAGTTTCAAAGCCGAGAGATGGAGATTGGGTTGCAATGATCTCACCTTCAAATTCCAAGTAAGAATTATGTATTGAAATATAATTAGAACCATTGCTAATGTAAAATGTTAATTCCAAATTATATGAACTATGGAATTGGATTCAATTTATATTTTTACTTGAATATATATGCAGTGTTAAAACTTGTCTTCTCAATGAGTTTTATTATCTACAAACTGGTGATACTTCAAAACTTCCTCTGCTTTGCCATTACCCTGTCAAGGTATGTTCATAAACATAATAACATTACATGCTTTGAAATTAAATATTCCTGTATTCTTTTTCTTTCCCCCTTGCCTAATATTCAGCCTACAATGCTTTTAGTTGTTAAATTATATTCTTTCTACTTTTGGTGAAAATTATCTTTCAAAATATTTTAAAAAATTGAATAAAAAATGAGACAACAAAGATATTACATGAATATTGATGGTTGCTAGCATGTCTCATAAATGCCGTATGCCGGAATGTGTGGTGTAAAACTTGCTTGTGTCTCAAATTATTAAATTGAATTCTTATTTATCCATCTCAAAAAATTGGGTAGAATTACTCATAAAAGAAAGTGTATTAAAAATCTCTAAAATTTGAACTATTAAATAAATAATTAAAAATAATAAAATGATATGTTATTAGTTGATTGGTTGAATGTTGTCCCTAATTTATTAATTAGTTTGCAATCAATTTTCAACTACCTTATCTCCAAGGTTATCTCTCACCACAACCTATGAGGTTTATTCGTTCCATGAAAATATATGACAACTCATTTCCATTATTTAAATGTATATTTAAATATTTTGGATGCAATTTCAGTTTTGACTAAATTACCGTATAGTTTTGAGAAATTTTATTTATAATTGATAAATACTTATTTAATCAATATAAAAATTTTTAAATTTTTTTTATTGATGATTGGCGTGATATCAAGTGATGAACCAACTTGACACCTTCAATATAAAAAATTATGAAAATATAACTTATACAGGCATTAGTGAGAACCTCAATTTAGTCAGAAAATTGACGCAACGGAAGGTTTCATTTATAGTTTGATGTTAACAACATTTATTAAGAATGTCTTTGTCAAAGATAAAGTTAGTTCTTTCTCATAGTAATTAGCTTGACTTGCCAATCAACATCCTCTAGCTGGATGTTCATACACGCTTGCTTTTCCTTAGCAAACTAACCAGCTCGAAAAGTTTGGTGTTGTCATAAAATTTAAGTGTACATATTAAAAAGAAAAACGATAAATACATATCTAAATATAGAAATAATTTATACTTTTAAAATAATTTAAAATTTTTATGTAATCAACTAGTTTTTGCAGTTATACTAACTTGTGTATTAAAAGCAGATAGTAAAACTATACTTTTTTTAATCTTTTTTTCATAACTAAACGTCTAGAATGGAATATATAACAAAACACCTGTCCTAGGTAGGGACATAGATATCAAAGTCAAAAAACGATGTAAAAACATGCGCTCTTTTGACGTAGTTGTCAAAGTTTACGTTCACGTAATATTTTATCCATATTGAGATCAGTACAATGTTTAGTGGCGTTTCAATAACGATTTTATTTTTTGTGAAGGTGGAATAAGTTTAGGGTATATTCCTATTTGTTTTTTTTTGCGGTTGGGAGTTTCCATAAATCTAAATTATCTTGACAATATAATTCCCACGATTACATTAAAAAAGGAAAAAGAAAATCTAGATATGTTGAATTGAAAGCTTTAACATATTTATTATATACTATGTACGAAAATTTGTATTTATCTTTATTTCAAGAATTTCAACAAGGTTTTATCATTTATACGGCCTCCTTCTTTAAATATAAAACTTATAGAATAAATTACACAAATTAAAAAATGTTAAAAATATTAAATTATTAGATATTTGTATAATATTATTATTTATCTTTAAAAAACAATTAATGTTTATATAAGATTATTTATGACAAATTGAAAAAAATAATATAATTAAAGATTTGTTAGAAAAAATAATAATTAATTCGAAGAAGATTTTATAAAAAAAAAGGACTGAAAAAAGTCAAAAAGATTTTATAATTACGTATATAATTTCTTTAATAAAAAAAAAATTAATTTATTTCAAAGATTGAAATTACATTTTTGAAAATATAGAGTATAACATTCAAAATGCAACAATGTCAATATATATCAAAAAATTTAAATATTGTTATACATGATTTTTCTTATAGTATTTCTCACGTTTAAAGGATACTAAATATATATACCAAAAAAAAAAAAGCTACCAACTAAACTCAAACTAAAATTATGTAAGAATAAATAATTTCCGACGTGTGTGTATAGCCAACGCGACGACTTCATCTCACTCCGATGCAGATACTTCAATCATAAGCTATTGTTAAATTTGTCTGTCGAAATGTAGTTCTCATCTATGTCATGCATTTCTAAATTTGGTCACATTATGATTTTTGATTTTTTTTTTTTTTGGTCAAACTATTTCACAAGATTTCATGTTATGTGCCATGAAAGTAACAAGAAATGAAAAGAGTTCACATATGGTAATATGGTTACCAATCATATGTAGATTTATGTTTTTCTTAAATAATAATGGTGTAGGCACAATACCTGAAAAACGATCCAGATTACCTAAGCTGCAAAAACAAAGAATGCAAGAAAGAGCAGAATGGGAAATGCAGTGTGACAACATGTAGTGGTTCCATAAAGTTTCATGTTATCAACATTAGAACTGACATTGAGTTTGTATTCTTCACTGGTGGCTTCCTCACCCCTTTCCTTGTTGGAAGGTCCACACCTTTGGGTTTTGCTAATCCTAACAAGCCACTTTATGGTCATCTATCAAGCATAGATTCAACCGCAACATCAGTAAGGACCATACCTATAACTATTACTATGCTTTCAAGTCAATCATTTTTACCCTCAACTGTGTTGTAGATGAGATTGACATGGGTTAGTGGAGACAAGGAACCTCAGCAAATTCAATATGGAGATGGGAAAACAGTTACTTCAGCAGTAACTACTTTTTCACAAAATGATATGTGCAGTGAGTAATACCTTCACTTTTATATGCTCACAAATATACCTGTTTCATGTGTCATTCTACTTTTTTAAATTGACAGGTTCAGCACTGCCTAGTCCTGCTAAGGATTTTGGATGGCATGACCCCGGATACATTCACTCAGCAGTTATGACAGGACTCAACCCATCAACTACCTACTCCTACAGATACGGAAGGTATGTCACTTCCATGACTTCCTTTTATAAAAACTTCACGAGGAACTTATGTCATACTAATAACCATTTTGTTCTATTCATGTTCTAGTAACTCGGTTGATTGGAGTCAACAGATCAAATTTTCCACTCCACCTTCTGGAGGATCAGATGAGCTCAAATTTGTTGCATTTGGTGATATGGGAAAGACCCCTCTTGATGCTTCAGAGGAACATTACATTCAGGTAAATTGATATGAAACAGCATTTACAACTGAAATGCATATTGAGATAACACATTAGGATTGGACAGGTGGTGAACTATGAAGCACTTACGAAAATGAAAATGATTCAATGTAATCATATGTGCTAGAGTCGGGTCACTCTTCCACATAAACAAGTGTCAGACACCAAACACATCTTCAATCTAAATTATTCGTACCAATACATTGTACCACTATGTGTTGACCAGCATGATCTTGTTTTTCATGTAGCCTGGAGCTTTATCAGTTATAAAAGCTATAGCTAGTGAAGTGGATTCCAACAATTTAAACTCGGTTTTTCACATTGGAGACATAAGCTATGCGACCGGTTTTCTAGCAGAATGGGATTTCTTTATGAACCTTATTAGTCCAGTAGCTTCAAGAGTTTCTTACATGACAGCAATTGGGAACCATGAGAGGTATTGCTTGCATCCACATTAATAATCATAATTCTGTTCAAACATTTTAACAATAATTGAATGGCTTATTCTGTTCAAACTTGTTCTTATTTATATTCACAGGGATTATGTAAGTTCTGGTTCGGTTTATCAAACACCCGACTCTGGCGGTGAATGTGGAGTACCTTACGAAACATACTTTCCAATGCCAACTTCCGCAAAGGATAAGCCTTGGTACTCAATTGAACAAGCAAGTGTTCATTTTACAGTAATATCCACTGAACATGACTGGTCCATAGATTCTCAACAGGTTAATCAAATAAATAATTATTTCCTATTTCTTATATTTCTAATTTAATTAAATGATTCATATATGTAAAATTCATATTGCAGTATGAATGGATGAAAAAGGATATGGCATCCGTTAATAGACAACATACTCCTTGGTTAGTCTTCATGGGGTAAGTGATTTATGTAAATTTTTAGATTGTGGTTTCTCAACTAATGTTTTAAAAATCAAACTTCACATTGAGCCAACGAGACTTCTGAATCATGATTCAGCTGACTTATACCACTCAAACCGAAATAAAATCACAACATTTATTGAACATATTTTTTTTATTTGCAGGCATAGACCAATGTACACTTCCAACCAAGGATTTTCGTCTAAAGATCAAAATTTTATTAAAGCTGTGGAGCCATTGCTAATAGAGAATACGGCAAGAACATCAAACTTCTTAGAATTCTGTTACTTACCGTGCCTTGTATAAGAAGCTAACTGTGTATTATGAATATGAAACAGGTTGACTTGGCACTTTTTGGCCATGTGCATAACTATGAAAGAACTTGTTCTGTCTATCAGAATAAGTGCAAAGCCATGCCTATAAAAGATCAAAAGGGAGTAGACACTTATGATAACAAAAATTATAGTGCACCCGTACATGCTGTCATTGGCATGGCTGGCTTCACCTTAGACAAATCCTCAAACAATGTAACTAATTTTCCCTTTATCAAACTCGTTTATATATTCATGGATCTAAATTGTAGTTGTGGTTGCAGTTGCCATTACAATGCAAACATTGATATTGCATAGCAATGTTGTTGCCGAGACCTCAAAAACCTTTAAATTGCAGCCACAATTTAGATCGAACCTTGTTCATTTATATAAAAGTTTGGACTATGCTTATGATTTTTTTAATATGCAAATGAAACTGTTTGTTCTGTTGCATTGGCAGGGAGAGAGCTGGAGTCTTAAAAGAATTTCTGAGTTTGGTTATTTACGAGCACATGCTACTAAAAATGATTTAAACTTGGAGGTTAGTATTTATATACTTATATTCCAACCTCAATCACCATTTCATTTTTTAAGCAAAATACATCAGAGAATCATGATTTCTTTATTTTATCTTAAATACATTTTAAGCATTATATACTTCTTTGCAGTTTGTGACATCAGATACAAGAGAAGTTAAGGATAGTTTCCGCATTACAAAGTAAAAGCTTACTCAAGAAAAAGAAACAGATAAAGAAGTAGAAGTAGAAATTGGTTTACTGACAGACCAAAACACACCTATATAAAATATGGAAAGCAAAAGGAGATCTAGCGACACTTGAAGATGAACAGCATTTCGGTTGATTCATTTACAAAGAATTACATATAAATAAATAAGTTCTTGTTACTGCAACTCTTATTTCTAGTCCAAATCAAAATCAATATATATATATATATATATATATATATATATATATATATATATATATATATATATATATATATATATATATATATATATATATATATATATATATATATATATATATATATATATATATATATATATATATATATATATATAGTTTCTAAGTATGTTGATTTGGTCTTTGAATTATTTTCATCCACAAAACAACCTGAGTCACCCTTTTAAGAAAAGAAAGTACTTAGAGTAAATTTAGTGCTAGAAGTTTAATAGGATGCTTAAAATAAGCAACTTTGCTTTATTTCTGCATGGGGATTAGATAATTTACATGCATAGATGGTTGCTTAAAATTAAGCAATGGTTTTTATATAAATAATTTTGTGAAAACTTAAATAGTTCAAAATTCAAACGCACTAAAATTGTTCGTACGAGACAAAGAACAATAACACCTGAAATAAATAACCTTTAAACAAATTTAATTTATCTAAGAGTAATCTATTTAAGTGTGAACACAAAATTATTTACTTTGTTCAATCAAATTACTTTGTAGGAGAGATATACTCTCATTTCTAACCTAAATTGAGAAGTCGACTGCATCACCTCGATAGCGATCTCTCAATCACCTCGATAACACAGAAGCTAATTGTGCTCGTTTGCATCGACGATCACTCAGAGCGACACAAATAATAGAGACAATAATCACAAACACCCTAAGTAAATAACAACACTAAATTTATCTCTAGAATTCAGAGACTATTAGATAATCATCATAGATAAGAATCTAAGCAGTATATGTCTATAGCGACTCAAATCCCTAGCACAAAGCAAAAATCAATTACAACAATCGATAAAGATTTGTAAAACAAGTTTTATATAACGCCAAAGGCGACAAATATACATGAGTTCAAAGAAAATATACATACAATATCCAACAAAAAAGAAATACAAAGAGAGCAGAAGAGATAAACCACAGATCTTTCAGTTTGTCAGCGCCGATCGATGAGAAATTCACTTCCAATCATCCATAAACAAAGCCCTACTGTTGTTTTTTAAGCTAGTCTTAACAAAATTAAAGGTTGATGGAGTTAGGAGTAAAAACTTCCCCAAAATCATAACCTAAAAATGAATAAAATGAAGTTATAAAACAATTATCGGCAAACCGCGCTAAGTGGATCTGACGCGCTTAGCGCGACTTCTTTATTTTACACATCAAACCGACCTAAACCGCGCTAAGCGGGCTCCAAAATATTGGTTCTGCAAAAATGTCAAAATGCAAGCAGCGCACTATAAAATGTGTTGATCGCACTTGCGCTTAGCGGCCTTATGCGCGCTAGCGGACTCTCCTGGACAGAACTTCCCAAAATTGGTCTTTTATTCCAGAAACACGCATCCGGAGTCGTGCCTTCGACACCTTATTCCTTGATTCTCCAAAATGCAACAAAAATACCTACATAATGAATGGAAAAACATCAAACGGTACACTATGTACACAAAAATACAAATAAACACAAACTAAACGTATTTACACAAAAGTCGGGTTTATTCAATGATATTAACAACAAAGAGTCGATAAGTGCCTCAAAAAGTATATACAAAAATAACTATAATTTGCACTTATCAAACTCTCTCCAACTTGAACTTGTTTGTCCTCAAACAAGGTCAAACAACTCAAAGAACAAAAAATAATCAACTAAAATATCATGAATCAACAAATTTTGAAAATGGAGAACAAATGCAATGATTAAAATAAAAAACTGTACACAAGAAGAAACGTACTTACCACTAAACTACGATGATAACATAAACACGAAACGAATGCTAAGTACAAAGAACATGCCAAACATTATAAAACAATACTAGTTCACAAATGAATCACACCTAGAAAAAACAATCACCGGTAGATGAAAAACACACAAAATAAGGTATTTTCACTCGTCCACACAATCTTGCAAATAAAAGACTAAATTATGAATTCATCCAAAAACTCATATTGAAAATAAAAAGGCAAGAATCACAAGAGATTTTTAAGGTTGTAATATGGTTTGGTTAACAAACAAGGAATAAATCCTAAAGCTAATCGAAATAAAAACTTTCCTAAACCTAAGGGAGTGATCAACTCACAAAGTTTCAAGCAAAATAATTTCAATCAAACTTCTTCTTCATTCCAAATTTTAAACCAACACACATCACTTATTGGCACAATTATTCAAATTCTTTTTGTTTTTCTTTTTCAAAGCTTTTTTTTCTTTCTTTTTCTTTTCACTTCTTTTTCATTTTTTTTTCTTTTTCTTTTCTTTCACAACCTCATAGAAATCACAACATAAGCACATAAACATTTCTCGTCCCAACTTGAATTCAACCATCATCGTAGTGTGAATACTCCCTAGTTTCTAAGACAAGGTAAAAATTCAAACTACAACTCATAGCTAAAGGTTTAAGAAAACAAAGAATCAATATCCATACAAAAAGATGAACCAATCATTCATAGACAAGCATTTAGAAGTTACTAATGATCACACACTCACAAGATGAATTGACTATTTGACCAAGGTAGTTGTGCTCAAAATGAAACAAAAAATGTCTTAATTATGTTCATGCTTTCATACAATCAATATAAACAAAAGATTAAGCATAATAAAATCCAGTTAAAACAAAAGTTATGGTCTCCAACATATGTGAGCAATAGAAAGCTACCTCACAAAATAGGGAAGAAACTAAAGTGATTCACCAAATAAACAAGTATACAAAAGAATGAATGATATAAAAATTATAAAAAGTCTAAGTATCATGAATATGATAAAGTATAGAAAGCGATAAACACATACCTCAAACGTGTACAAAAATTTAACAAAATCACTACCAAACACTCGATAGTTGAAACACTCAAACTTGGAAAATCACCAAAAGCGACTTCAAGCTATCGAACCAAAATTGAGTCCAAACAATGACAAAAGAATTAATTATACTAATATTATTTACTATTTAAAGCCTAGGTGTAAGTGGAAAAAATGAAAGCAAGTGAAATAAAAGAAATCACTGGCTCTGCACAGTAGGGCGCACTAAGCGGCACAAAGCACGCTAAGTGCCCCACACCAATTGCAGAAAAACCAGAACAACAACAACAATGCAACAACACCCTCCACAATCACCTATATAATTTTAACTACACATGTACAATATTTACAACACACGAACTTCCTCAAGCTAAACACGACAAGCTTGCAGAAAATCACAAATTGACATAACGAAACAAGCAGGTGAAAATGAATTAACAAGTTAAAAAGTGAAAATTTGAGAATTTAAAACAAGTCCAATTTCAACTTTTTAAAACACAATTCAACACATACATAAACAAATACAAATAATACATGTTTGTTTTACGTCGTAAGCTCGACGTCTTTATTGTGCGAGCTAGTAACATCCTCTTGTCATGTCATGGTATTATGATACTGTGTAAACCTAAAGAAAGTATCCTAACATCCATACAACAAATGTTATGAAAACGAGACAATTAACAACAATATGTGAAAACAAAGAAAAACACATATATGCACAAGTATGGAAAGTAAACACAAAACATGTACAAGTAAAAATAGACAAGTTTATGTACACACTCTATACAACATATGCATTAATTACAAAACTAAAAAACAAATAAACTATCACAATGCAAAACAATAAACACAATCCCCGACAATGGCGTCATTTTGTTGTTACGGTAAAGCGGCAAGCAAAAAGTAAAGTTATTAATTTACCGGGTGTTATAGATTATATCGTATCATGTCCATAGAGATCGGTGAATTGAAATTTCGTTCGAAAAATCTCTTGTTAATGAGTTTGGGGATAAATGGGTTGAAAGGAAAAGTATTAACAGAAAATAAATGTATAAAAATGAAAAAGGAATAACTTTTCAAGCATGCATATATACTACTTCTAATAGACTTAAACCTATCAACCTGTTATAATAAAGCTATTGATCGTGGCTTTGTGAGTCTTAAAGAATCTAGACCGCAAGTATACAGTCCTATCATGTGTAGCTTTAAAGATTATCGAATCCCAAGGGACTAAATGTCGAACTACCGTTATCTTAGGTTACTACATAAATCTAAGGCTAATAATGTAATTAATAGGGGGTTTAGGGAACCTAACTGATTATAATCTAGTTTAGATTCAAAGGAGAATATTGGTATTTAATAGTCGAACTTCGGAGATTTAGCAACTCATTGACCTAGCTCGGATTAACAAAATAGTTTTTGGTAGGAAGCATTTGCTTGAAAACCCTCTTCTCACACTCTCGTGTTTATTGATTCAGATCCTACGATCAAACCTAAGTGAGTGCTCTCGCTGTTTCAATTAGGGTTTAAAAATAGTTTTTGGAAACAAATAAAACCTAATCAACTTAAAAGCGCTCTTGCTGCATTTTAAGTTGATGCACAATTACTACTGTCCAGTTATTATCTCAAACTCTCGTTTTATTGATCCTAACCTCTATCTGTATTTTACTCTCATAACAAAACAGTTAATATTTAAAACTAGCAATTGAAACCAGAAAAGTATTCTTTCTTTAAAATTAATTGATCAACTGGGGTTGGTGAAACCCCGTTGGCTATATGACCTTACATACTGATAAATAAATTTAACCTAGTGTGATACGGTGGGAAGAACTGACTGTTTTTTTTGGAATGCTGGGTTGCGTTTTGCGTTTGTATTCACAAAATATCGCGGTAAGCAAGAGTCGCCTTCGACTTTTGTTTTATCCAACAAGGAAAGAAAAAAAGCACAGAAAAATTCCTTTTTCGA